CGTGCTCCAGTCTCTGGGTCTAACGAATGAAGAAGCCGAGACGGGGAGGGCCGCTCAGGCCCAGAGGGCAGCCCTCACCTGCTGTCCTGTCTTCGGGCTCCTCGGGGTTGACGGGTCTCTTGCTCCTCTGCCCAGGCACGTCTCCAGAAGGCCCGATGCCCGCAGGTGGGGATGAGGATGAGGATGCAGAGGGGGTGGCAGAGCTCCCTGAGGTCCCCCTGGAGCCCCAGGAGTCCAGGAGCCCACAGCAGGTGGGGCACACACTGAGGCCTGCAAAGCTTGAGTCGTCCATCGGGCAAGCCCTGGGTTTTGGGCAGCCCCACGTGTCCTAAGCCAGCTCTTGGGCAGCGGCTTCCTTGTCCCTTCCCTCTCCCTGCAGAGCAGCTGCTGCTCCTCAGGGCTGGCTGAGCCTGTGGTGCCCCTGTAGCCACAGGTGGCAGCTGGTCTCTGGAGCTGCCTCCTGAGGGCAGGCTGGCAGGAAGGGGGACCTTGGAGGCCTTTGCCGTCCCCTCAGCCCCGAAGGGTGGGCTCTGTGCTCCGGCCCTAGAGTGAAGACGTCCTTTCTTCCTCTTACAACGTGAACTTTACGCAGGAAGCATGTTCGTGTTCATCTTGGCTGGTAGCTCCGTGGATATTACCATGTTACTGTTTTGTTTTTCCCCGTGACCACTAGCTCACTAGTTTGTGTTCTCTGGAGTTTTCCTAGCCGTGTTACTTTTAGCCCTTGAACTATTTGAAATTCCTGCTCAAATACTCTGGTTCCTGGAGAGTATTTGCCCCCAGAGCAAAGGAGGGGACATCCCTGAGGCCATTTCTTTGCAGAGCACTGCCCAGCCCAGGAGGTTTGAGCTGAGGGAGAGGCGGGAGGCCCTGGAGCCTGTGTCCCAGCTGAAGGTGAGGTGGTGGGGCCCCAACCCGACCCCACTGGCAGGGAGGGTGTGTGCCTGAGGCCCCACCACCCACGTCTTCACTCCCACCTGACCGAGGCCCTTCCACCCTTGGACCCTGGATTCCGCGTGGCCAGTGTCCCCTGGCCGTCACTGCCCTCAGTGCTGGCCTTGGGGGAAGGGTGTGTGTCCCCCACTCTCCCTGAGTACTTGTTCTCCGTGCTTAGGAGACCCCAGACCCCTGGCAGAGCCTGGACCCCTTCAGCTCCCTGGACTCTAAGCCCTTCAAGAAAGGTAATTGGGTGGAGGGACAGCTGTACCCAGTGTCTGTGGCTGGGTTCATGGGGGTACAGGTGGTGGGTGGGGTGTGCCCTGTACCCATGGAGAGCCTGGGGGGGCTGTGCTCCCTCGTGTGATGGCTCTCAGGGGTGTTGGTACTGTGATCTTCCCCGGGGCCTGCAGTGGTGCCCTGAGACACAGTCCATTTGGCCCCCAGGTAAACCCTACTCCGTGCCCGCCTGCGTGGAGGAGGTTCCGGGACAGAAGCGCAAGAGGAAGGGGGCCGCCAAGCTGCAGGACTTCCACCAGTGGTACCTGGCCACCTGTGAGTGGGTGTGTGGGGCCGAGCCAGTGCAGGAGGGGCAGGAAGGGACTTGGTCTGGCTCCTGACAACCCAGTTCTCTTGCAGATGCTGACCATGCTGACAGCAGGAGGCTCCAGAAAAAGGGCCCGTCCTTTGCAGGTGTGACTGGGGCCCTGTATGCTCCTCTGAGGGATAATGGCACCATGCTTTGCCCTCCTCCCCTCCGCCTGGGGATGCCCAAGGCCCTAGGTGGACCAGGGTGGTCTAGGCAGGATGCGGGCACCCCCTCACGAGGCTTTTGTGTGCAGACATGGAGGTTCTGTACTGGAAACACGTGAGGGAGCAGCTGGAGACCCTCCGGAAACTGCAGAGGAGGGAGGCAAGTACTAGCCACTGGCCTCACCGCCCCGGGTGGTGGGAGACAGCAGTGGCTCACAGATTCTCTGCACAGGCAGCTAAGCGGTGGCTGCCGAGGGCCGAGGAGGAACTGTGGCCTGTGGAGGAGGACCGCCTGGAGGACTCCCTGGAGGAGCTGGGGGCAGCAGGTGGGTGCTCACAGGGTGGTGGGAGGAAGAGGGCTCAGGACAGGCTGCCTGCTGACCTGCCTCCTGCTGGTTCCACCCCACCTCCCAGCAGATGACTTTCTAGAGCCTGAAGAATACGCAGAGCCTGACAGGGCAAAGCCTGAGGACGCTGCAGACCTGGGTAGGTCTAGGAGTGGGCTGCTGGCCAGGCCCTCATGAGGGTGCTCCTCAAGGATGAAGGGAGGGGGGGTGTGGCCCACCCCTCCCACTGCCCTCCTTTCCAGAAGCAGAGGCCATGCCGGCATCCCTGAGCTACGAGGAGCTGGTCCGGAAGAACGTGGTAGGCCCTGGTCGGAGGGGAGGGGAGCTGGGTGGTGGCTCTGACAGAGGCAGCAGCTCCCGTCCTCCCCCAGGAGCTCTTCATCACCACGTCTCAGAAGTTCGTCCAGGAGACGGAGCTGAGCCAGCGTGTCAGGGACTGGGAGGACAGCATCCAGCCCCTGCTCCAGGAGCAGGTAAGGGGGCTGGGCCGGCTTCTGCTCGGGCACGGAGCCCGATGCTTGCAGGGTTTGACCAGGACCTCGCTCTGCCCTCTTGCGGGAGCAGCACGTGCCCTTTGACATCCACCTGTATGGGGACCAGATGGTCTCAAGGTTCAGTCAGCTCCACCAGTGGTGTCCCTTTGCGAAGCTGGTGGCCGGTCAGCCTGCCTTCGAGGTGTGCCGCGCCATGCTGGCCTCTCTGCAACTGGTGAGTGGCCCTGGGCCTGGGCGGGGAGTGGTCCCTGGCTCTGCTGACACCCTGTCCTTACAGGCCAATGACCACACGGGTGAGATCACCCAGCAGCCAGGGCTGGATGCGGCTGTGGACACCATGTCCCTAAGACTGCTCACACACCAGCGGCCCACAAGCGCTTCCAGACCTACACCGCCCCCTCCATGGCTCAGCCCTGAGTGGGCAGCCCTGTCCCCCATGATGTTGGGCACACATCTGCTCACTTCACACTTGCTTCCTGGCTGGCCCAGCCTAATAAAGTGGTGTTGCCACCCCACCCATCCCTTTACAAGGCTCCTGTGTAGAGAAGATCGCTGCCCATCTCCAGCACCCAGCCACAGCCAGGTGCTGGGCTCCTCTCCTCCGTGGCCTCCCAGGGCAGCTGGTACTGCTCAGACACACACGTGGCTCCACCACACCCTTTAATGACCCAGGTCAGTGCAGGACGCTGCGGAAGGCAGCCATGTGGCGCCGCACACTGTCTGCAATCTGCTCGGCCGACCTGGCCCGGCCATAGTAGTCTGTGAAGAGGCCGTCGGGGTTGAGCAGGTAGATGGCGATGGAGTGGTCCACGATGTAGTCCTGGTCCGCGTCCTTGGGGCCGGCACTGTAGTACACACGGTAGCTGCGGCTGACCTGGGCAACCTGCTCCGCCGAGCCAGTCAGGCCCAGCAGCCGCGGGTGGAAGTCCTGCACGTAGCGGGCCATGGCAGCAACATCGTCCCGCGCGGGGTCCACGGTGATGAAGACAGGCTGCACCGGGGGCAGGCCGGGCTGGGCCTCCAGCTGCCGCACCACCTGCACCAGCTTCTCCAGTTCGTCAGGGCAGATGTCGGGGCAGTGAGTGAAGCCAAAGTACAGCAGCACCCACTGGCCTCGGAAGTCGGCTTTGCAGCGAGCCTGGCCCCGGTGGTCCAGCAGGCTAAAGTCTCCCTGGCCCACGGAGGCCTGGCGCAGGGCCTCTGTCCGCCGCCGCTGCTGCTGCCGCTCCTTCTCAGCCCTCATGGCCAGCCAGGCCCCACCCAGCCCCGCCCCAAATAAGGCCGTGACCAGCAGCCTAGTTCGCAGCCCAGGGCCCCGGGGCTGGCCCTGCCTGCCTGTCTCTGCAGGGCCCTGCCTTGACAAGAGCCGGCACCTCACATGGAGGGCCTCGCCTCCAGGAGTCTTCAGGAGGGTGGAGGCCTTGAGCTGAGAGAGCCCGTGCTGAGCCTTGGGCAGCTGAGCCAGCAGCAGCACAGGCCTGATGCTCCTGGAAGAGGGCAAACATGTCAGGAGCCGGAAGGTGCCTTGGCCTCCTGGGTCACCTCCCATCACTGGGGAAATGGGTCTCCACCTGGAGGACCAAGCTGTCCCAAATGGCCACCCAGTGCTCCGCTGAGCTCAGAACCGTCTCGCCTCTGAAGGCAGAAGCTCCAAGCTTAGGTGTCATCAGAAGTCCAGCCTGTCACTGCTGTCCTACAGGCGAATGCCTCATTCTGCCTCCTCCCTCCCCGGCTCCGGCCCCGGCCCCGGCCCCGCAGCTCCAGACAGGGCAGCACTCACCTGTGTTTCAGCATCGGAGCCGCCTGAGATCACTGAGTGCACGGCTGCCTGGGTTCCGGAGCACGTGTATCCGTTTGCAATGAGCCCCCTTTTCAGAAAGGAGGCCGGTGAGTCCGGCTTCAACCCTCAAAGGCAGACTCGGCAGACCGCCCCTCCCCCACCTACAGCAGAACCTGGGCCACTCACTGGCTTGCCCACCCGCTTGGAGAAAAGGTTTCCACCTGCCACAGCCGCACCCGCTTCACGTCCGGGTTTCCGACAACTCCGGTGGCCGAGCCTTTCTACTGGGGCTCCTGGAGGGGTGTTGGGGGGGGGGTCTGAGGACCCCCTCACCTGCTCAGCTGCTGCTGAGGGGCCTCCGAGGACTAACCGCTTGGCTTCCACCTTCCTCCCTCGATTCCTGGGCTTGGGCTCCGGGCTGGGTGACCTTGGGCGCGTCCCTTGGCCTCTGTACCCGCCTCCTGTACCAAATGGGCTCTAAGCGCTGCACTAGACGTGCCTGACCGGCGGCCCCTGCGGAGACGCCCTGAGCCTCTCGGCGCCCTCCTCCGGGGCGCCCTCCACCCACGCGCAAAGCCGGACCCTGCCGCAGGCCACGCGCCGAGCACACCCCAGGCGCCTGCCCTCCCGCCCCTCCGAACCTCGCACCCAGAGCCTTCACGGGGTCGCACCTCGGGCGTTTCGCGCTGGGATGTCTGACGCCCCGCCCCGCTCTCAGGGCCCGAGGCCGGTGGCCCTCTGCCGGGTCTCCACGCTGGACTCCAGTGCGCACGCGTCAACGTGTCGCGCACGCGCGTCCGGATGGCAGCCGGAAGTGCGCGCAGAAGGTGGGGGGGGGCACCAAAGGTCACGTGCCAAAAACGGGGCGGTGCTTCGGGAGTCCCGCCCCTGCCCGCGAGCGAATCAGGCGCAGACACGGCTTTGCTGCGCTCGGCTTTATTGCTGCCCCTCGGCTTTATTGCTGTGCTCGGCTTTATTCCTGCCCCTCGGCTTTATTGCTGCGCTCGGCTTTATTGCTGCCCCTCGGCTTTATTGCTGCGCGTTGTTCGGCGGCAAGATGAGCTCAGAGAAGGGCGAGGGGGCGGCGAAGGGCTCGCGGTCCGAGAGCACGAGCGCCTCCTGCAGGGCTCGCCGCTGCGGGTCGCTGAGCGCGGGCGCGTCCAGGTGCACGCGGAGCCAGGGTGACCCTGCGGGCGGCGGATGGGCGGTTAGTGGCTGGGGCGGCCGGGGCGGCGGGCGGGGTGAAGAGGGGCCGGGATTCGTGCTCACCGCGTTGCAGCCTCTGGCCCACGCTGACCAGCAGCTCGGCGCCCACCCCGAACCGGATCCGCTCCCCGGCGCGGCTGCGCCCGGCCCCCAGCTCGTGCAGGACGCGCGCCAGCGGCAGCGCCCGGACCAATTCCACGGTGCCTGCGGGGAGGGAGTGCTGAGCGGGTGGGCGCGTGGGGCAGGGCAGGGCTTAGGAAGGGCAGGGACCTGGCGGGAGGAGGCCTGGCGGGGGCGGGTCTGCGGGAGCTCACCGTCCTTAGGCGCGAGCAGTTCCTCTTGCTGCTGCGCGCGGGGCAGCAGCTGCCGGCGCTGCGCGGGGGTCCCGGAGCAGAGGGCTCGGGCCAGGCCCGGGTCCACACCCTGCGTCGCGAGCATCTGCTCGAAGCGGTCCCGGGCCGAGCCGTCGTCCAGCGTCGCGGCCACTCGGGCTGCGCCCTCGGCCTGGGCCTCCGCCTGTCCGTTGAGCCAGAGCAGGACGCCCCCTGCCGGCGTGGGTCCGGGGTTTAGGTGCCGCGGAGGCGGTTCTGTAGTTCCCACCCCGACACCTTACGGGTCCACTCACCCAGCCTAACGACCAGGTCCCGCAGGTCCGGTGGCCCCGCGCCATCCATGCAAAGCAGCGCCTCCTCCACCTCCAGGGTGTGGCCCACGCTGCGGCCCAGGGGATGGTCCATGGCTGTCAGAGCCGCTGCGACCCGGAGCCCCAGGCCTGCCCCGACATCAACCTTCGGAGACATGGTTCAGTGTGGCCCCTGCCCTGCATTCTGTGGGGCCGCTTGTAACCCGCTTGTTACCAAACTCCAGCCGGTGCTGCACGCTTGGGTGCCAGTTCCCCAGGAGTGAGAGGGTCCCCGAAGGTTTGGTTGTTGGAGTGCGGGGAGCGGTGAAGCAGGCCATGTGCCTGACTTCAGAGCTGGGGTCAGAAAGACCGTGTACCGCCCCGGCCGAGAGCCATGTCAGCCTTGCTTGGTGAGGCTACTGAGTAGGGGGTGAAGGAGGACCTGGGAGTGGGGAAGCCAGGTGCTGGCAGAGGCCATGGTGACACAGGCCTGCTGAGTGGCTGTGGCTGAGGCACACGGGGAGCAGACGGCTCGGTTATGAAGGGGAGGCTGGGCTGTAGGGAGAGACCCTCCCCAGCAGAGGCTCCTTGGGCACAGCTGCTCACCAGCGCTCTAGCCAGTTCCCGGGCCTTTGCCTGGCTCGGGAAGACGGCAGCCCCTCCGAACTTCACATCCATCACCAGTGCAGACAGGTTCTCCACCACCTTCTTGCTGAGGATGGAGGCTGTGAGGGAGCAGAGGGGGCCTTGGGTACAGGAGAGCTCGGCGCTTCCTGAGAGATGCAGGGCATCCTGGCTCTCAGGTCAGGCACGAGGAGTCAGGGGCTCTGAACATGGAGGGTCAAGTCCCTCATGATGGGCGTCACCGGGCTGGACTGTTGTGCTTCAGCCAGGTCTCCCTCTTGAGTGGTGAGGGGACGTCTGCCCTGGGCTGGGGGAGGTCCCACAGTCCCCTTAGGAGAGGACCCTTTACTGGTCCATCAGAAGTCAGGGGTGTTTAACATGCAGAAGGTGGACCCTGGAGTGTGGGGTCAGGTCACCTGTGATGAGTGGCAGGCTGTCAACGGTCGCTGTCACATCTCGGGCTGCATACAGGATTCCGTCTGCAGGAACCAGCTCCTTGCTCTGACCCACAATACAGCAGCCCACTCTCTCCAGCAGACCTTGCATCTGGCCAAATCCCCGTGTGTCAGGACTCCCAGTGACCTCTGGTCACTGACCCCGTCACTAACCCTGATCAAGGGACTCACCAGCCACCTTGACAAATGTCAAAACCGTGACCAATAACTTAGGAACAATTCTGATAAGTCCTCATTGATGATTGGCTCAACCCATCAGTGACATTAATCAATGCCCTATGGTCCATTGGGGATTTTTACCAAGTCCCTATTAATGGCTCCAACCAAAAGTCCGTTGGTAACTTTGACCAAAGTCCAATGATCAGTAAAGACCCGTGAATAACTTTTATGAATATCCTCATTAGTGACCCTGACTGATAACCCATCAGTGATCCTTCAGCAATTCTGTTTAATGTTTACATCAATAATCCAGGTCAGTGACTGATCAGTGGCTTCCACGTACCTGTTCTGGGCTCTGGATGACGGTGAATCCAGGAATTGACTCTAGTTTATCCAAGGTGCCTCCTGTGTGCCCCAGACCACGCCCACTGATCATGGGTACCTGTTGGACAGGGGTCCTGTGTACACCTGCACTGTCACCCCCCACCTCTTCCCTCACCTTCCCTGGTTAGGACTTTAGCTGCAGTTAGAAGTGGTAGTGGGTGTCCACCTGGTGGAGAGGGAATGGGAAAGAAATTGTCCTGGTTTGGGATGGGGGGGTGCTGAGGAAGGAGGCTGGTATCTGTCGAGGGAGGAGTACCCAGCTTTTCCTTTGGGGGTCCTTTCTCGGGTACTGAAGAGGAAGAGGCGCTAGGTAGCTTGGTCCTGTTACGGGGGCTGCTGGGAATGGGGGGGTGCAAGGAGCTTGGGCCCTGCCTTTGGGGGCTCTTTCTGGACCAAATCAGAGGTTGGGAGCTGCCCGCCTCTGAGGCCCGAGTTCCGGGTTTGGAGAGGAGGCGCTCACCTTGCAGCCACAGGCAGCCAGGGCAGGCGCCAGGACCAGGCTGACCTTGTCACCCACTCCCCCTGTGGAATGTTTGTCCACGAGCTGCTGGTGCCAGGCCTCTGGCCACTCCAGCTGCTGCCCGGAGTTGGCTAGGGCCCGGGTTAGCGCCACAGTCTCCTCCAGATCCATGCCTTGCAGTCGGATGGCCATGAGCATGGCCCCTAAACATGGGACACGGTGGTGTAGGCAGCATGAGGGGGCGCTCTCACAGGGATGGGTTAGCCGGGGCCAGGGACGTGGTGCGGAGCCGTGGGGTGCCAAGGGTAGGAGGTCTCGCTGGAGTCAGGAATGCCCACCGGCCCCACACACCTATCTGTGCGCCCTGCGCGCTCCCGTCCACCGCGGCGCGCACGAAACTCTGAATGTCTCGCTCGCTCAGGCGGACTCCGTCTCGCTTCAGGCGGATCAGCTCCGGGAGCTGCTTGGGCTCCAGCGCTGGGCCAGGAGGGCACTGGGGCCCTCCGGACGAGACGCCACCCACTGGGGCTCCCGGGGTCGCCATTGCTCCGAGCCTGCGGGGTGGGAGACACACCTGGGACCCGCCCCGCCCTGTGTTCCTCGGAGCAGCCAGGTGCGCCCGTCCCCGCCCGTTCCTTCCTCCCGCCCCCGCCCCCCCCCCCTCCCTGCGCCGACAGGTCTGTGTGGCCCACGTGCGTGTCTCTGGGTCCACCTCCCACTTCTCAGTCTCATAACGGGACCCCGGCTCCTACCTGTTCCGGACAGCGGCCCTCGCCTTTCCTGCTTCGGGTTCCTGCCGGCCTCCGCCCTGTCCCTCCAGGAACTTAAGACTCCGCGGGGACAGGGAGGGGCAGTTCCCGACAGTCAGGGGCAGTTCCCGACAGGCAGGGGCAGTGAGTTCCCCACAGGGAGGGGCGGACCCGTTGGTCACTGGCTGCCCTAGACGGCAGGTGGGCGGGGCCTCATACAGTTAGGACTCTGGACCAATCGCCGCCTCGAGAAGGCGGGATGATGTGTTTTTCAAAAATTACTTACTACGTGTTTTTTGTTGTTTTTTGTTAATCCTCACATGATATCTTTGCCATTGTTTTTCAGAAAGAGTGGGAGGGAGGAAGGGAGGGGGTGGGGAGAATCCCGAAACTCAGGGACCTGCCCTGGACCAGAGTCTAACCCGCGACCCCCGACCCTTCGGTGCGCAAGCCCACGCGCTAACCACAGGCCAGGGCAGGTTTTTTTTTTATTTTTAAAATTTTTTATTGATTAAGTTATTACATACGTGTCCTTATCCCCACATGACCCCCCATCCCCCCATGTTTTTTTTTTTATTTTCAATTCTCACCTGAGGATTTTTTTTATTGGATTTTAGAGAGGAAAAGAGAGAGAAATATAAAGTAGTTATTTTAGTTATCGATGTACTCATTGGCTGACTGGTAGGTGCCCTGACTACGGTCCAAACAGCAAGCTTGGCATCCGGGGAGGAAGCTCGCACCAGCTCGTCTACCGGGGCCTGGAGACGCGGCTTTCGTTTTTGGTTTCTTTGGTTCCGGCCAATCACAGGCCCCCCGGGACTCGACTTCCCGGACTCGCCGCCCCCCACTCCCCGCCCTTCCGCCCCCTCGCCCTCTCCCGGCCGGGCGCACAGAGAGGCGGACACCCGGCTGGTTCCCGAAGCTTTAAGCAAAGTTTGTGGGGCCGCGCCCGCCGGCCCATCAGTCGTCCACTTCGGCCAAGGTCTGGGCCACGTAGTCCGAGTGTCGGATCCCGAAGCTCAAGCCGCCGGGCTTCCGGTACTGGGGGCCCAGGAGACGCCGCTGACCTCGCAGGCTGACCCTGCAGCTCCGCACCAGGGTCCCCGTCCGGTCTCCCCTTTGCCCCCACCCCTGCCCCGGTCCCAAACCTCGGGCCTCAGACCCTCCATCCTGGACCCGGACTCTCATCCCCCGGGATCTGACCCTTGGCCCCGTGACCCCAGGTCACCTGGTCCACACTGTAGGCTGCGGGCCCGGGGTTCTGGCTGTTGTCTTGGGGAAGCGCCGTCCGCGGCTGCATCGTGAACTGGGGGGCCCGAGACTTGTAGATGCCGGGGTTCACCACGTGGTAGGTGCCGGGACCTGGGGTCTGCGGGAGGGGTGCTGGGCTGGGCCTCCGTTCCCGTTGTCCACTGACCCCAGCCCCGGGCTTCCTGGCCCGCTACCCAGTTGCCCCTCCCGACGTGGAGCCCGCAGCCCCCTCACCTTGCTGAGGGTCCTCAAAGAAGCTGCCCACGACGTTGCGGCCGTAGAGGGGAGTAGGTGGGGGCGGAGACCTTACTGATGACTCGCGGGGCCCAGGACCGGGGGGCACCGTGTAGGTGCCCGGACCCTGGAAGGCAGGCCGGCGAGCTGAAACTCAAAACCTACGCCTA